CCCCCCTAGAATTTTTGACCTTGCACACGTCTGATCATACAACACACACTCTCTGGACATTTTTCCAAATGGAAGACAGAAACATCACCTTCTTTGTTAAATGCATGCGTTTATTTGCTTACGTTGTTGTTGTGTCGTTTTTATCAATCGCTTACGTTCAAAAAGTAAATTCATTGTATTGTTTTGGAATACATATATGCGCATAGCGTTTGCTAAATAGTTTTTTTTTTGGTATTTTTTTTTCTCGGTAATACTTTTTTTCTTTGGCCACGTGTACTACCGTCCCATTCACACCGCGAACACGCTCACCTGCTACGCTGAAAAGGCGCGACATCATTGTTTTCGTTTACTTATCAACGCTACCATTGTCTAATTTTAATTTTATTTTTGGCATTTACAATTCAATGTCTTTAAGAAAAATCGTTCGATTTTTCTTTCATTTCATTTTTTGGCTCATTCTTCTTTTTTGTTGTTGAAAATAACGTGCTAAACCACACAAATTAATCAAAACAAAATTATTGCGCAAAAAAAGAACAAATCAATTTACAAATTAGACAATCTTACGTAAAAATTTTAATCTAGACATTTCAGCGGTTAACACAAAATTAACCAATTTTATCCACAATTGAATTATATGATTGTATTCATTTGGAATAGGTGCAACTACAACAGATTTACCGCCTGGTGTCCTCTACAGAGTAAAAGCTACATACAAATATGTCAAAGAGGATGTTGATGAGTTAAGTTTTGATGTTGGAGAAATCATTCAAGTCATTGAGTATGATGATCCAGAAGACCAGGTAATTGAGCGAAACAAGCCTTCTTGAGTCATTTTTACAATTCAACGTAATATAAATTTTTCTACAAAAAGTTCTTTCAAAAAACAACATAAATTTCTTAAATTTTTTTAATTTCTCTTTTTTCACATTTCATGAATGTTTTTAATTTTTTTCTTTGATTTTTCCATAATTTTTGAATATTTTCAAAATATTTCTTTTTTTTCTAATTGATTTTTTTTCAATTTCCTAATTTTTTATCAAATTGTTCGATTCTATTTTGTTTCTCATGATTTTTTGTTGCATTTCAATCTTCCAAATCTCTTAGGAAACTTCAACCTAGGCAGTTTTTTCGTTCATGGAATCGTTTATTTTGTCGTATACTTTCGCGTTCGTGTCTCTATTCCAAAATCCGCCTTGGTTTTAGTTCTGTATTTTTGAGTAGAAATATTTTTTCAACTTGATCCATTATTTCGAAGAGAGTTGTGATTATGTCGATCGTTCACTTAGGAAACTTCAACCTAGGTAGTTTTTTCGTTCATGGAATCGTTTATTTTGTCGTATACTTTCGTATAATCAACCCTCAAAATTGGGTAAACCGTCATGGCACAATTACGGCACATATGTTATTTCGACAGCACATTTTGCGCACAGTTTTTTTTAGCCCTGTTACGACGCAATATCTTCAAGTTGAAAATTTTTGACTATGCATACAAATCTCTTTCGATTAAATTCTAACCTAAAAAAGAGAAAACAAATTTATTGAATTATCCTTTTTCATTCGTTTCGATTATTGCAGGAGGAGGGATGGTTGATGGGCCAGAAGGAAGGTACAAATGAGAAAGTTTTGTTCCCGGCTAATTTCACTCGACCATTGTAACATTGACAGAGTAACAACAACACAGTCAGCCTGTTTCTATACACATATTTACAAACGAAAATGCGAACGTAAAATCAACAGTTAGTTGTCCAAGTAAATATTGTGCAATTTCATCGATGTAATAGCATTTCAACAATACAATTTACATTTTTTTCTTTTTTGTTTTTGTCTTCAGTTCTTTTATTATTTCATGTCAGATTACTGCAACAAGATATATGTTCTTTCCGATGGGAAAATACCAAGGGGAAAGCAGTAATCTAGTACTGCATTCAATGCCGATTCAATGCCAATTCATTGCCACTAAATTCAAAACAATGCTATTCACTGCAATCCACTGCTGTCATCGATTGATGTACTAGATTACTGTTTTGACAGGAGTGGATTGCAGTGAATAGCATTAATTTGAATTTGGTGGCATTGAATTGGCATTGAATGCAGTACTAGATCACTGCTTTCCCCCTTGGAAAATACACACACACAATTCTGTATTTATACGTTACTTTAGAAAAACGATAATAAATCGTCAAAAAAAGTCACCTCAAAATGGAAAAAAATTGAAGTCTAGGCTGAAAAAAAGAAATAATGTGGACAAGAAAAACCACGTCGGAGCTCATGAATTTGTAAGCGCATTTTTCTTTAATGTTCTAATACGAAAATGTATAGATTTCTGTTTCTTTCTATTTTCTTCATTCCTCGTTTTTTTTCTTCTATTTGTTCTGAATTCAACATATATTCTGATTTATTTATTTTCAACAATTTGAATTTCTTTTTTTCAATTCCAGTTTAATCTCTTTTATTTTAAATTTTACCGTTTTGATTCCGATTTTGTTTTTGCTAAATTCGAAGAGAAAAAATACATCCGTAAATTTAGTTAGTTTTTAATGCCAATTTAACGATGTTTTGGTGTCTTTGCTGGTGATTGAGTACTTAGATCGGCTTTTGGTTGTGGTTGTGTCGATAGAGACCGTGTCGCCTGAGACCGTACAGTTGGTTGTTGTGTCGGTTCAACAATCGATGCCACCGTTTGATTTTCAATTTGTTGTTGCTGCAACACAAAAAGTAAAGAACATATAAAAAAAAGAAAGAAATTTTGTTGAAATAAGTAAATACATAGGTATATATATATCGCCGTAGAATATCTTTTCTAATTTACCTGTATAGTTTGACGAGCATTTTGCGATGACACCAGAGTGATTCGTTCACCGAAAGCAGTTCGGTTCGATTGTGCTATTGTCGGAATGTTGGCTAAATTTGTGGAATCAGCCTGAACTTTGATGTGTGTAGTTTTTTTTGAAGGCTGTTTCTGTGCTTCTGGGCTGCTTTCTGTTTCAATACTGGGACGTGGACTTGGCAGATCAAATAAATCTCGACTATCGAAATAGCCGTCATTTATTTTCGAGCACCTGTGTAAATATATAAACATATTTGGGATATTTTGAAATATTACATGAAGATCGTAAAAAAATTTACATTGTGTGGATCGTTTCTTTCAAAAAATCCAACTCTGGCCGTGAAATGTGCCGACTAGAATAACTGTTGTTGATGCTTTCAATGACAGGCGTCATTTGGTTCACGATCAAACCATAAAGTATGTTTGCCCGACATCCAAGAGGCTGAAAATGACAAATAAATAATGTAAAATATAAAGTGCTAACTAACATTTTGAGGAAATATAAAAACTAACCATTTCATGCTGTGATTCATATCTAATTTTTGATCCCACGGAGAAGCTGATTCCACGGAAGCCAATTTCGATACTGCCGAAGCATGCTTTCGAACTCCAAATAGCTATTTAGAGAAAAAAACAGGATAAACATTTGAAATCAATCATAGGAGATTTCGCCGTAAGAGATAGGAGCATAAGTGAAGAATATAAATTTAGGTTTTTACTGATTTAGTGTTGGCCGTCGAACACTTTCGAACACTTGTTCGACCGTTCGAAAGCATTTAAAAAAATTGTTTTGTTCGTTCGTTCGTTCGAAATTTATGAAAAAAAATGTTGTTCGTTCGTTCGTTCGGAAATTGCTATGTTCGACCGTTGGGATTTTTACATTTGAAATACATAGGTAGCAAATACAATTTTGATTTCTTTGGGTAAGACTGAAGGTACAACGTAATTACCGGTGTTATTACTGAGTAATACCACTGGTAATAATTATTATCGATCTTATTACCGATTAATAAGTAATTACTAAGATGATAGTTATTACCGATTATTACCGTTAAGTACTTAATTAAACTTTGTACAGTCTGAGCGATATGTCTTGACCGCATTGACAGTTGTTGG